CGATGTCTCTTTTACTTTCATCGCCTCCATTTTTGTCCCCCTCGAAAAATCGTAGGCACCTTCTCCTACCTCCTCGGTCTCAATCACTGCCGGCGAGTCTGAATCGGGGCCCACTTGGTAGCCACCAACGCATTCTCAAGCTCAGTTCTCCGTCTAAACTCCGCTGTTCATCACCCATGGCCATTCAAGAGGGCCCTATTTCGTCCTCTTCGTCTCTTCAGGTCTCTCTCTCTCTCTCTCTCTCTCTCTCTCTCTCGCTATCCTATGTTCTTCATTAACTTTTCCCCCCTTTCATGTACAAATACATTTTTTGTTTTTTTGGGATTTTTATGGTTTTATGTTTTGTTCCGTTCGAATTTAATCCGAGTGAATTGGAAAACTGCGCTGGAAGTAGTTAAGCAGAAAGAAGAAAGAAATTGAAACAGAGAACAAAAGAAAATAGATTATGATGTTATATGGGAATTATGAAGTCACATCAATTTTCATTAGGGGGGTGTATTCAATTCTGAAAGACATTTTAGAACTTTTTAAATGGTGGATTTTGTAGAACTTTCATTACCGTGAAACTTGCATTTTGAATGGCTGAATCGGACCCATGAAGGAATTGGAATGTAGGAAATCGAGTATAGGCATAAATCATAATGTCTTGCCTTGGCCAAATTTTAACTGAACCTCACTCGGGTTTCCTTTGTTGCATGTAAGAGAGATACGAGCCTCTTGTTGGTTTGAATAACCGAGCTTCCCCTTTCGCCTTTAAGGCTTGGAAGAACGGAGCCAAGTTGTGCATAAATTTGATCGGATAGGAGATGATAGAAAGAGATTTAACTTTTACAATGTACGCGTAGGAGAGTATTATAAGATAGAGCATCTTGATACCTTGTTTTAGCGAATACTTCATGGTTTATATCTCCTCATCAATTACGTATGTTTGGTTTCTTTCATCATGTTTTGGAGTTCATTTTCTTGTTTTTTTCTCAAAATTTTATTTTCTAATAGTTTTTTTTGGAACAAGCCAAGAAGATACTACTAGGAAATGTTCGATCAAATGAGTTGGAGTGTTTCATTCTTAGTTTTCTTATCAGTTATTATTGTTATTACTTTTTGGGATGATTTGTTTGAATTGATGGGTTGGGTTTAGGCTCTCTCGATAAACTATATATTCTTATTCAAAATTAACCAAAGAACATCAAAGAAGATGAGTCCTTTAAGTAAGGCTCTCAAAACCGTGAGACTAATTTGTCCACCAAGCCAAAGCTAATAAATATTAAATAATAATAATAATTATTAAATGCTAATAATAATATTATTAAATACTATTCTGCATCATGAGTGCTGGTAGATCTGATATTTTATTTGAGTTTTTTGTTCAAATTTTCTTTTTTTTGAGAGGAATATGAATAATTGAATTGTACCAACTTCATAATACATTTTATGTGAGAGTTATAACACACTGCGGGGTATGGAAGGTATTTATATTTATTTCTATATTTACTGATTATTTTTTTTGGGTAAGGTTAATCTGGAGATTCGTCATTGAACAAAAGCAGGTTTCACATAATAAGTTGTTATAGATTCTCTTGACTCATGGCTGGTTGACTTGTTTTCTTAATAATCAAAGGTTATGGTTCTTCGAATAATGGGTTTTACACATAATAGTGATCTTCTCTTACTTTCATCCAAGTGAATGCCTTTGGAATGGACTTTTCCATAGGAAGAACACGATGGAGTGAAATGCGTTACTGGTTCGTGAGCACCACTTTATACAAGGCTTTCAACTTGAGTATAGAACTGGATTCTTAATCCTATAAGACAAATTTAAAGTCCTGAGGATTAGAGCACAGGCAGGGTAGAACTAATTAAATAAGAATATGGCATCCGTTATGTGAAAAGTACATCCGGATTTACACTTGTGTTTGGTGCTCTGTAGCACTTTCTACTGCCTATTTCTTCTAAGCTAGTGATCTTTCTTTTCTAAACCATTGTAGGATAGCATGTTGTATTCTCGGGCATTCTATTTCTTCTAAGCAAGTGATCTTTCTTTTCTAAACCATTGTAGGATAGCATGTTGTATTCTCGGGCATTTTGGGTCAGTAAAGAGACTATTGCTTGGGATGTGGATGCTGGAGATGGTTCATATTTTTTGTACGGCAGCAAAAACGCCAACCTGTCTGTAGAAAATGGGGAAATTCAAGGTTTTCTCATCACTAATAATGCCTTCTGGTGATGCTGACAACTTGTTTTTTCTTGAGCAAGATATGTAATCTTTTGCTCTCGTTAAAACAGGCTATGACGTAAAACTTATGCTTGAGATTGGTGAAGGAGTGCTTCCTCATCATGTGAGTTAGTGTTATTCTCGAAAGATTTAGTCGGTTTTGCCAACTTATTGTATTTGCTACATTTATAGCAAGATTATATAAAGAATATGCAAGTAAATTATATCCAGTCTTCTCTCTTCTCTATTGTTTAGGTGATTGAAAATTATAACCTGTCTTCTCTCTTCTCTATTGTTTAGGTGATTGAAAAATTTCCTCATATCCAAGATTATAAGCCTCTCCATGTTACTCCAGCTCTGGATGTCAAAAGTGTATTGAAATATCAACTGGCTGTTGCTGCTGTAGACTGTAAGTGATTTGCTTGTGTTCGCTATTTTATCATCTCAATAGAGGGACTTTGAAGTGGTCTATTCGAAGTGCTTACATCCAGAATTAGCTGAAAAATTATTTTGTGCTTTTAAAGTTTCTTTTCTTCCATTCACTGCATGGTGCATGGTTCCTCTGCTCAAGTTTGTAATGTATCCTCTGTATAAATTTTGTGAACTTGTTTCCCTTGTCATCAGTATTTTGATCTTGCTTGAAGTTTTGCAACATTACAAGTTAGAAAAACGAAGAAAGTTAGAAGGGAATATATTATCTGGTTTAGATTATAAGAATTTTTGTTGGGTTCTATTAGGAACATTGACGATGTGCACATCCAAATCTAGAAAAAAATTAAATCCTCTTACAGCGGAAATTTATAGCTAGGATTAGGAACGGTTTAAAAAATTGTCGACTCTGAAAAGAATGCACTAGGCTGGATGAACGCGCGTCTTCTTGCCCTTTCACACCGTGCACGTCCTCGGTCAAGTCGCCGGCTCGCCTGTCTCGGATCGCAATGCCGGTGCTGGTTGCCGAGTGCTACGTGTGTTGTCGCCTGGGTTGCCGACTACTGTGGTGCGTCGCGCTGTGGGGTCGCCTCGTCGCCTAGCCTGCTCGCGTGTGGGTGCTGCGGGCGCTGGTCTCGGTGGCTTCTTGCCGCTAGGTGCTCGCGCGGCTGTGTGGGCTGGTCACGTCGGCGTGTGCGGTGGTCGGGGTTGCTGCGTACAGTCGTCGTCGGAATATATATATATATACATATATATATATATATTTATTTATATGCCGGTCCGGGATACGAACAATGGACCTTAGAAGGCTTTTGTTGTATGACCGATCACCTTCTTCAATTCGTTGTTGTGGGCGACTAGTCGGAACTCTCGAGACTCTAACCAAACTCACGATTTTTCTCTCTTTCTAATGCTCTCGATTTTGATCGATTCTTGCACAAGAAAACAAGAGACCTCACTTGTGGTATTGTTGGTTTGGAGACATAGGACTTTGTGTATTTATAGCTACAACAGGGGCCTCCTCTTAAGGAGGTGCTAAATATGAGCCCCCAATATAGGCCGCCAAACACTCATACTTGAATAATATTTCATTCCATTAGACAAATATTATTGCACTCCTCATTTAGCTTCGAATTACATTTGATTCATGTTAATTTGCTCGAATTACCTCCTCATGTTTAAGATCTAACGTCCTTTGATTAATTTAATTACTGACAATGTAATAATTAATTAACTTCTTGCATCGGAACTAGTATCACTCAATTCTTTTTATTATGCCGGAGATTAATTTGTGTGCAGAGCTTAACATAATAATTCTTCTTGAGACACGGTGATTGTAAAAAAATTTCAACGACACATCATGAAATCGGAATTATTTATCAAATTATTGAGTCTATCGACCTAACAAAATAAGTATCGTCGTTGGTAAATCAAATAAATAGTAACCGAGTACATATGCCCGTTAATTGTATTAAGGGTTGAGAGAACGCAAGGCCTTGATTATTTAGTTGGTGAGTATAAAATACTCTTATACTCCTGTAGGCCCGTTTAATACATCCGAGATGTACTAGTGTAATTCGTTAGTCAAAGATCAACTAACCCGAAAACTAAATTACAACCTCTCACGACATTTAGTTCAATTATGTCTGTGAACAATATTATATTTTACTAGGCACTTTCTGTTCGACAAAGGAACTATGTTCTGTCTGCAAGCACACTTGACCAAAGCATGAATCTTATTCAAAATGGTATTGTCAGAAACTGAAATACGAGCTTTTACAGTATACCCTAACAGATTTTTTGGCTGTGCTTATTCTTTTTGTATATTTCTATTGTAAGCATATAGAGTAGCTATAAACATACCTAACTGAGGCTTTCATTTTTGCAGCCAGTGGACAATGCTTAAATATAACCGGTCTGCAATTACCAGGTGTCTTAGATGAACTATTCTTTTATAATGGTCCTCTTGGCGCAATTTTTTCATCTGAAGCTGTTTATCTATATCTTTGGGCACCAACAGCACAGGTTGATGTATCATCTCTCTCTCTCTCTCTCTCTCTCTCTCTCTCTCCCCCCTTTTGTATTCGTTTGTGGGCTCTCAGTTAATCTCACATATTTTCTTTACCAAAAGCTAACAGAAAGTGCGTGCACTTATTTATGGCGAAGCTGAAGGTGGGTCCCCCTTAGAAGTTGTTGAGTTTGAGGAGTCGAATGGAGTTTGGAGCACCAAAGGGCCAGTTACTTGGCAGGGATATTACTATGTATATGAAGTGTTTGTTTACCATCCTAGCACATTGCGGATTGAAAAATGTATAGCAAATGATCCTTACGCAAGAGGGTATAATGTTTTTTATTTATTTTTTTTCACATTAATTGGCGACTTGGCGTTGGTAATGGGAACGGAGTTCTTGTTTAATGTACACACGTTTCTTGTTTGGTTTAGGCTGTCAGCTGATGGCAGGCGAACACTCATAGTTGATGTTGCTTCTGAGACATTGAAACCGGAAGCATGGGATCATTTAGCGAATGAAAAGACAAATCTTTCTTCATTTTCCGACATCAGTATTTATGAGCTGCATGTAAGAGACTTCAGGTATATATTGAAATTTTGAGTTCTTATTTCCCGACATCTTGAATTGTAATATCATTCAGTTTAAGGCCTTTTACTTATTTGTTTCTGTTGCAGTGCTACTGATGGCACGGTTCCATCTCTTTTTCGTGGTGGCTACCTTGCCTTTACTACTCAGGTAATCTAATTTTTCGTGTTGTATCCCTTTTTACTTCTTTTTTATTTAAATCTTATGAGTAAATATTACCTAAAGGATTCTAACTTGAGGTAGTATCCTAGGCCATTTAGTGATATATTCTTGAATAATACAGAAGGAAACCAAAAAAAAAAAAA